TGTTCCTCCTACCTAATGCAAATTAAATGTCCTTTGACCAACAAAGAATGACCTCAAATTATATATCCTTTGACCAGAGCCTCATTTCTTCCTGTCTCTTCTTTCCCACCAACCACCATTATCCTACTCTCTTGTTCCAAGAGAAAGCAACTGTTTTTTGCGCCTACGTATGAGTGAGATCATTCAGTATTTACTTTTCTGTGGCTGACTTCTTTCACATAATGTTCTGCAGGTTCGTTTATGTGGTCATAAAACAAGGGATTTTATTTTTGTGGTTGAATGGCATTCCATAGTGTTTATATACTTTATTTCCTTTATTCAAACACCCTTAATAGATTTAGGTTGATTTCATATCTTAACTATTATGACTAATACTATTAACATGGGAATTCACTTATCTCTTTAACATACTGATTTTATTTCCTGGATACATATGCAATAGTGTGATTGTTGGACCATATCAAACTCCTATGTTTATTTTTTTGGGGAACCTCCATACTGTTTTCAATAGAGGCTCTACTAATTTATATTCTCACTAACAGTGCATCATTATTCCCTTTATTATACATTCTTAATAGAATTGATAGTCTCTTGTATTTTTGGTATTAGCTATTCTAACAAATGTGAAGTGATGTTCTAATATACTTTTGATGTGCATTTCCTGATGGTTAGTAACGTTGAACCCTTTTCATATACCTGTTGGCTTTTTATATGTCTTCTTTTAGAAATGTCTATTCAGGTATTTTGTCCATTTATTTGTTTTGAGACAAGATTTTGCTATATAGCTCAAGATGGCCTTGAACCTGCTGTGCAGCTGAAGATAGCCTCAAATTTGCAATCCTCTTGCTCTAGCTTTCCAACTGCTGGCATTACAGATGTGTGTCACCATGCTCATCTTTGTCCATTTAAAAAATACAACTATTTCTTTTCTTGATATTGAGTTGAGTTCCTTATAAATTTTGAAAACGCATCCCTTATCTTAATCTGTTTTCTATTGCTCCAGCTGAATTCCACAAACTGGATAATTTATAAAGAGCAGAGATTTATTTAGCTCCTAGGTCTATGGATTGTGAAATCCAAACACAAGGCACTATCATCTGTTTGGCTTTCTTGTGGCATCAACATGGAAGAGGATATCACACAGCGATATAAAGCCAATGTGGCTTCTGTTACAAGGACCTCTCTTGAGATAACCCATTAATCCATTAATGATGGCACAGCACTCTTGACCTCACCTTTTAAGATTCCCACCTGGTACCACTCACCTCTTAATACTTTCTGGGTCTGTGTTCTCTAAATTCAAATAGGGATAATTTTGGCTCTTCCTATATCAACATATTTCTTCCTCATTGACACGTCTAGCCTATTATGTTGTCTTTCTCTGAGTTATGTTCTAGCAGAAAAAAAATTTTTTATACAAGTTGTTTTTTTTTTTGTTTTTGTTTTTTTTTTTTTGTACGAGGAATTGAACTCAGGAGCTTGCTCTTGCCAGGCAGACCCTTATGCCCCTGAGCTATATCCCCAACCCTAGTAGTAAGTTGTTAATGAATCAGTTTGATTTTGTGGAATCTTAGTTTTATGCTTTGTCAGAACTAATTTGTTTAAGATTTGCCTGGAGTTCCAGGGCATAACTCTTGGTCTGGGCACAAGGTGTTCATCCCTTTCTGTGGCCCATCTGGAGTTCTCGTAGAAACCCACAGTACTTATCATTTCTCCCTGAAGTAAGTGGCGTTGAATCCTAAACCTTTTCTCCCCAGAACTAACCCAGAAGTTGAAATCTATGTTCAACTCATTTAGCTTCTCAGATCTCGTTTTCCACTAGATTTTTTCTTGCTCAGTACTCATCCAAAGATTAAGAGGATGTAGGTATGGGAAATTTTCCCTTTGTGGTTACCTTTATTCTTAGATTTCCTCTCTCAATTTCTAAATATTCTGGCAATGAAGTACTCCTACTTCTGGTTTGTTAAACCAGTAAGACTGCTGACTTCTGTGTGAACCCTGTCCACATGGTCAAACAAATTGTCTCCAAGAGAAAACTGGTTAAGTGTGTACTTTGCTTCGGTTTCCTACCTTTTCTCTTCTAGTTTCTGCCTTTGTCACAGTCCAGTGTATTTAAGAATTTTGTTTTCTATTGTGTCCAGAGTTATAATTGTTATCAAAAGGATTAGTTGATTGAACAACTTCACCGTTAATACTATTGGATTTGTCATATGGTTAAATGAATGATATATCTAGGGATCACCTCTTCCAAAAATAATATTATAAAAAATGAATTGTAATTAAAAATTTTCTATAGATTTAATGTTTTAAAATGCAAGTACAAAGCTATTTGGATGGCAGTCAACAGTGTGTACAGGGGGCTGGGGATTTAGCTCAGCGGCAAAGCGCCTGCCTGGCAAGTGCAAAGTCGTGAGTTCAATTCCCACTACAGAAACAAAAACAAAAACAAAACAAAACAAAACAAAAAACAGTTGTACATAAACAGTAATTTACTTGTGTAGAGACTATATCAACCACCCTTAAAAATGAGCTGCTTTCTACTTTTATCTCTTCCCCCTTTGAATGTAATCTCACAGTGCTGTAGCTAAAAGAATGGGGTAAAAACAGGGTAATATTTTCTTCAATTTTCAGAACAAATTTCTATCTATTGCAGAACAACGATTATTCTGGCATTTCAAGATAATATCATCTGCTTATATTACCTTCACTTCTTTTTTGTTTCTTGTGGCAGTATTAGGGACTGAACCTAAGGCTTTGAGCATGCTGGGAAAGTGCTCTATTACCTATTTACATCCTCAGCCCACCCTCATTTCCTAGAACTGTGTTCCCATACCCAGATAACTGAGCACCTAGCTCACATACTTCCTTACCTTGCAATCTTAAGACAAATCTCCAATGATGTCATTGTCACAAGATGTCCCGCCAGCGACAAGTGGCAAAAGTTCCTCATTCTCTTGGGCCCAAGTATTGTCTGTTTCTACTTTTTAAATTTAGGATCAGTAGTGACTAAATCCGTATTTTCCCACATTTACAACATCTTTCTTGTCTAATGCCTTTACTCCCTCACAGCGTTAAACAATGTTCACCATACCATCTTCATGAGGTCACTCTAGCTGCCTTGCTATGTTTGATGCTTTTTATATCTTTGATGTACCTTAGTTTTGCCTCTTCTTACACTTCACCAATTTCTAGACTTCAGTCCACTTTTTGTTTTCCTGCATTCAGTAGATAGAAAAGGCTAAAGAGCAAATACACACAAAAAGAAACTAAATTCCTTTGGAGCTAGATTTGCTCTCCTTCTATCTGATCTTGGAAGAGCCAAGTATCCATAGGTACAATCCCTAGCATCTTTCCATTTCCTTTTAAGTAGGCAGTGTAAAGGAGCAGTCTGAGAACTTGGCTTTTCTTCTACGCAGCTCTGCCATTCATCAACACAAAACTTTGAATTATTCACTTGACGTTTCATCTTCCTGTCTGTAAAATGAAAATATTTGAGGACTTGAAACTGACCACAGTCTTCTCTTTGTTTCACCAGCCCTGTTTGAAACCACAGAGAAACAAATCACAGGCTAGCAGGGGTAACTGGCCATATGGGAGAAGGGACCAACTGGCAAGCTAGAAACTGGCCTGCATGGATTTTGAAGCTCCTCTGTGTCAAGATTTAGGCGCTATGAGACTTAGAATGTAACAGACCAGACATGGATTGTAGTATAGCTACAAGGGATCAGACTAGGTAGAGAACTGTACTATTAGTTTTTCTCTCCAGGATTGCACCAAGGCTGTCTACTCAGGGATTCAAGCTCTTTCTTTCCTTTTGTCTGAGGTCACCACACTTCCTTACTTACCTTATAAAACATCATCTAATTTTCATTCTTAGCAGGTCCTGGTTACAAAACTGAGATCTCTCTTTTTTTTTTTTTTTTTTTTGGTTTTTCTCCGGTACCGGGAACCGAACTCATGACCTTGCGCTTGCCAGGCAGGCGCTTTGCCGCTGAGCTAAATCCCCAGCCCAAGAGATCTCTCTACATTATTATTTAAACTTATTCAATAAATTTTTAAGCTCTGTAATTTAAAAACCAAATGATTCTATCGCTCAACTATCTTTAATAAAATTGATTCCTAGCAAACTCATCACTGTTAAAACTCCTTTCAAGTAAAATTAGATGAAAATGATTTTCAAGTCCTTTGACATATACTTTCCCTTTCCCTTGCCCTTGATGGAAAAAGGAGTCTAGACTTTTATTTAACCAAAGAAAAGAACATGATGGTCATATCTAAAGATCTTTCTCTCCCCTTGACCCCTTCTTTGGTAGAAATTGAATAAAACTATACTGTCTGTATACTTATTAAAATAAGCTCAGACCCTTGTCTTTCATTCTTAAAGCCTTATGAGAATGAGAACCATTTTCATTCCATCATCTTCAGGGTAATAACTTGGAAAACTGCTTTGATGCGAGTAGAAACTTATAAACAGTAAATTCAATAAAGCTTTGTTACAAAACTAGTGTGAAGGGACAAGGATAATAACCACATCTTAAGGTTGCCTCTTACTCTTAAAAAAGGTCTCTTTGAGCATTAGTGGTGAGATTTGATCTGTAGTACATTTAACCAAGTGACAAGAGATAAAAAATTTTACAATCAGGGCTCCCTATAAAAATGCAGCTTGATCATTCGTCATAAACAAGCAACCTGTTCTGCACAGATAAGGACAAATGAAAAATTAATCAAAGTAACTAAACAATTGCTTCATTCAGACAGTTATACTGCATAATTCAAAATCTAACCCCCTTTCTTCTACTTGGAGCAATTTTTCCACTTCAATAAAATAAGCTTCTCTTGACCCTGATTCAATTTTGTTCTTTTGCTTTTGCCTTTAAAGACATGACCTTGAAGAATAATTTTTATTATTTTTTCATAACTGTCTGTTTTGTAATTTCTCCTCCAAAAGTATCGTACATAAAACTATGATCCATATTGTACAAAAATCCAATACACTTTAATACAATTTGATGTTCATTTCAATTTATTGCTATGTTTTTGCAAAGTGTGAAGGCCAGGGGTCTTAAAACTAAGAAGGAAGGTACTCCTTACACGTGTTCAGAGTAATTTTGTCCCATTCTCTTTCTCGACCACTCTTTTTCTTGTTTAAAATATAATGTGTTACAGCTATAGCAAGACAAATGACTCCTATCAAACTCGCTGCTGTTAAAACTCCTTTCAGTATAAGATGATCTCTGCCAGGTACAGAAGAAGAGTTTGGAGCACTAGACAGAGACACCTGAGCAATGTTAGATGTAGCAGACTTTAAAGAGTTTCTATCCATTGCTCTGAGGGCCACATAAATTCTGTGGTTTTCTTGTGTTTCTCTTTCAGGTTGATGTTCAGGTTCATTTGTAAAAAATCTGGGTAAGAATGTAAATATTTCTCTGGTGCCAGCCGGCTGAGGATTTAGCTTTGACGTATTCACCAAAATGGCATTGTTAAAGTCATCTTGAATACTCTGTAGGCTTTTGCTTATTCTTATTTCATAACTTGTAGCTGAAATTAAAAACATAAATGGGGAGGTTAAGTCACTTTAAGTAACTTTTCTAGTTTGTTAGTAATCACTGATGAGAATAGCAACAAAAAAGCTAAAATATCTAGGAATAAGCACAGCAAGAAAAATAAATGAGTCAAATTTTAAAACTACATAAAGAGTCACACTAAAAGCTTAGCAAGAGGACTTACATTATTTGAAAGCAAGATACAGCATAAAATGTTTTTATTATTATGTAAATTTCATGTGATATTTATGAAAAGTGTTTCAGTTCTTGCTTTGACTAGTGAAGTTTTTTATAAGGTTTATATGGAAAATAAATAATAAAAATAGCCATATAAAGTTGAAAATATAGCAATGCAAAGAAACTAATCCTACTGGGTATAAAAATAGTATAATGCCTCAATAACTAAAATACCATGGACTAGTACATGAGTGGACTTATATGTTCAAAATTAGGCCAAGTTCAGGAATGCAGTATAAAATAGAAGTGGAATTTAAATTAATAGGAGGAAATAAAAATTTCTTGATGAAAGATGTTGTGACAGTTGGGTAAAAATCTAGACAAGAATTATGTAGATGGAAGCTCAAAAGTCAGCACAGGCCTTAGAGAAGGGAAAGTGGGAGTAAGCTCCCATCAATGTCCACCCAAGAAAGGGCAAGAAAGTCCTGGATTAGGCAACTCCTCTCAGCCTTTATCACAAAAATCATGACTAGAGCCAGAGCAGATAGTACACCAAGGCTTGTATTAGCCGTGGGAAATATTTCTCTAAATCTCACTTGTAAATATATGAACATTTGCTAGTGAATTTTCAGAAAATTAGTCAGTTTAAGTATTTAGAAATATAGACTCTATAATAACAGACTTTGTTCTGGCTGATTAGATCACCAAATTGTGTGGAGTGCGTGTCTCCAATCAAGGTTTCTGTGTGACTGGCGTGAGCCTACCCTGGCCCCTCTACTCCTGGGGCAGCTGACTCACTCTCATTCCTGGGCTCCAGGATTTAAAGCATTATGAGCAACTCAGAGTTTTTTTTTTTTTTTAATGACAGTCCTCTGCAGCTTTTCCAGCTGTAAATACCAAAGCTCTTTTCACTCCATTAACTCCTCACATTTTTAGGAATGTTGTCTGATGGAAAAATAGATAATGAAGGCAGCAAACCTACCCTGGCCCTGATCAAAGTCTTCTCCAGGTGCTGTCCAAGATAGAGTCACTTTCTCTTCCACTTTTACAGCTTTCAGATCAATAATTTTGCATGGTGGGAAGATGTCAGGATGGGAGCCATCTGGAACTCCTTGCACTGAAAAGGAGCCTCCTGAGCTTATTCTGCTAAACCCCCACTTTTGCTCTTCCTCAATTATGTGTGCTGATTTCCTTGGAGCATTCATCTGAATGTTGCCTGGGCACAAGAGAAAGTATAGGCAAACAACAAATTACAAATCTCTTAAATAGCTAGTTCCTGAGAGATTATCAAGAGACTCTTGAAAACTTTTTCTTAAAAAACTACCTGTTTAGAAAACCCAAGTTCATTTAATAATTCATTCATTCATCCATTCATTCATTCTGTAAGTACTTATTAAGTGCTTATGCTATGCCCACAGACAAAACAAGCCAATTCCTCATGGAATTTAATACTAATGTTAATTGTATCAGTAATATACATTGACAAATTGTGGTATTACAAAAGAAAATAGCTCAAATACCTAATTTAGAGTAATATCAAGGAAGTCACACTTAAGGGTTTCCTAAAGGTCTAGAAATCAGCAAACAGTGGAGGGAAGACTATCACAGGCAATGGGAACAGTTTGTATGAAAACTTTGAGGTGCTGAACATTTTTTTGCCAGTTTACTTTGGTCTTTGTCTTGGTTACTTTTCTCTCATTGCTGAGATAAAATATCTGACACCCACATTAAGGAAGGAAAGGTTTATTTAGCTCACAATCTGTGGAGATTTCAGTCCATACATTGTTGGCTCCAAGGCAGGGTGGCACATGGCAGAGGGTAACTGTTCATGGCAGCAGAAGATAGCAAAAGCAAGCAGAGATAGAGGACCAGCAGAGGCAAACAGCCTTTTTCCTTCCCTTACACTATATGCAAACTACTTGCTCTGGGGCAGTTGTAGCATTCACATCTATAATTCCAACATTGGACCATGAATCAATCATAAATTCTAAAAGCCCACCCATGACTGCATAAAGCTTTGAGGGGACATCCAGACACAAACCATAACAGTCTTATTTTTATGAGAATGCATTTGTAATACATAGTGATTACATCCTTTATGGGTAGCTTGTACATGTACATGACACATCTTAATTCTTTTTATGTCCCCCTCTTCTTGGTCCCCTCCCTATTTGAGAAAGCTCTATCTCTACCTCCTTGTTTCTATTCTGATATTTAAGCTTGTGCATCTGATTTGTGTTCAGAGTGCTTGCTTAGCACACCTGAGGTCCTAGATTTCATCCCCCGTACACACACACACACACACACACACACACAAAGAAAACAAGCAAGAACACAAGAAAGGAAGAGGTGGAAAAGAAGAGAGAAAAGGAGAGGAGAGAAGAGGGGAGGGAAGGAGAGGAGAGTAGTTTGAGATGAGACAGGAGAGAGAAGTTTGTGAAGAACCTCAATATGCAAGGGGGTATTTTAGAGAGCCACCCAATTGTCCAGGTGGGAGAAGAAAGCAGCTTGGGATAGGTGATAGCATTGAAAGGTGGTCAGATGCATTTTGGAGAAAAAGTCAGCAAAAGTTGATGAAGAATTCGAATGTGGAGTTTACAGACATATAAATATTATTAAAGCCATGTAGGTTAATGAGATTACCTAATAGTATTTTAAATTATAATGATAGGTAGTATTTATTAAGTGCTTATGTGCCATGCACTTTGTAAAGGACCTTATGTATATCAAATATTTCATTTTTCTCAGCAAAGCTCTGACTAGGGTATTACCTCCATTTTTATAGGTGACGAAACTGAGACACAGAAGCTGAGTGACTTGATCAAAGTCACACAGTTCAATCGCAAGTAGTTTTGCTTCAGCCAGTAGAGTGAGAAAATCAGGACTGAGCTCTGAGAATTTCCAATATTTAGAGGTCTGGTAGAAAAGAAGGAGCTGGAAAAAGAGGCTGACAAAATATTTCTGAGAAGAAGAGATAACCAGGGGACTGCAGTGTCATAGAAACTAAGAAATACTGCTGAGGTCAGAAAAAATGAAGACTGAGATGTTTCCTTGCGATTTAGTGGCCAGGTGGCGATTGGCAATTAGAGCAGGAGAAATTCCAGTGGAACAGTCTGGTTGGAAGTCAGCTTACAGTGAGTGGAATAGCAAACAGGAGGTGAAAAAGTACAGTTGTCAGGTTTTGGCTAGTTTCAGGGGACTATGATAGAAATAGAGAGGTGGAAGCTGGAAGGTGACCAAGTTTTGACATGGGAACATGCTTGGATGTTGCTCAGAGAAGACAGTAGAGAGAATGTGTAAGAACTCTCAAACTCTCTCTAGGATCCAGAACACATCCAGCAGAGACAGAGGCCTTTGGGGAGGAGAGGAAGGCACAGATGCAGCCCTGTCTGGAGTGTTCTGTCTGGAGGTTTGATAGTGTGAGAACAGAGCAGCTCCTGTATTTTCTAGAGAAGTGTGTGCTCAAGGCCATCACCTCAAAATGGGCTAACAAAGTGAAAGTTATGAACAGTGGGCATTTCAAAGGAACCCTAACTTTTTCTTTTCTGTGCTGTGAGGGCTTACATGAAATACACACATAAAACCGCAGTTGAACATTTTTAATCTTACTGCATGCTAGGTACTGATATTTGCATCCTTTAAAGTTCTGGGCTTTAGCAAGGTACTTAGGTGAGTCAGTAGCTTGTGGGCCCCTTGTTAAGAATCAGGTCTTCTACTTGGTATGCCAAGTTCCTAACTTGTCACCTAGTAGGCCTTCAAAAATATTATGTGTAGATAAAAAGAGATACCTATTTAGAAACAAAGTATTTCATCTAGATATAATATCATACCTATGCAATAAAACCATGTTATCTTGCAAACTGATTTACGCTGATTTTTAAGCAATCCAAATTACTGTAAATATAAGTGATAGTGAATTGTCTCCTGGGTAACACAAAAAACAGCAGAAAATTCAAATCTGTTGTAGCTTCCAGGCAGAAGTATGAATAGAACACAAAAATATTGAATCATGCTATGGAATAGTACAGACAACCGACTGTAACTCTTCAAATACATGACTAATACTCATCATCATTAAAATGCTTATAAATGTTTTTTGAGACTTTTTAGAGAGACTACATCCTGATACATTGTCTGTGATTTTCTAGCTACTGCTCTTTATGAGGAACTAAAATAATAGTGTTTAAATTTAAAGACGTATATCTTCTATTCATCTGGCACTTTTTTATCTTTATCTAGGAAAGCAGAACCTCTTCAGGAATCACACAGTTGTCTGTAACATCCAAGCCCACATTTATTTAGGAGCTCACTTCCTGTGTAGATTATTTGAGTCATTTGCTTCCTTCAACTGTTAGTAAACTTTTGCATCTTTCTCTGGCCTAAAGCTCTATAGAGGAGAATAGGAGCTGGAACTTAAAAATGTCAGCAATATATCCAGTAGGAATTCCTGGAACAGTCACAAAAAAGAGCTCAAAATAACTACTAAAATGAGGGTAAGAGTTATCTAAGGGAATTACCTATTGTTTGTAATAAATGAGGGCTGACAAGGCGGTCAATGAATTGTGGATTATATTTACAGTTTTGAAAGTCCATCTCTGTCACACCTTTTATCCTATCTCTTCCTAGTACACACATACACACACAAACACAGAAATACATGCAATGATATTACAAGATGATAGTGCTGACAGTTCTTACCATTTGCTATGTAACCTGGTACATACATAGCATGACTTCCTGCGACGGAGTGGGCTAGGGTGCTTATGCTGGGAGAGCGACTGACATGCACTTTCAAGCTATATCTACCATTTACAGCAAAGGAGAAAAAATACCTCGAGTAAATTCCATCATTTTTAATAACATCTGCACCTGCGAATGCAGACAAAAACTCAGTGTCAACACTTGTTATCATAGTTGATTGCTAATATTTGTAAAGCTATTAAAATAATATTCAGCCACCCCTTATTCTTTGCATGTTTGTATTATGTTACCGCAGTTGTAACTGATGATTTAAAATACAATAGCTCCATAATTTCCTCCTGTGATTCTTTAACCTCTGAAAAATTATTCTCTAAAGGTGAATATATTGTAATATAACACTTAAAATCATCTTTAAGTCTCTCATTTCTTTCACTGAAAATATTACTAACTTTTCAAAGAAACCAAGCCCATTCTTAAGCTTGTATATTATGGTCATATACTTTTTAAGTAAAAGTTTTATCCTCAAAATATAAGTATATATGCACATATTCACATTTTTCATACAATTTCAAGGGTTTATGAATGTCCTGAAGCCATTTGATGAAAAGCCTCTGCCAAAAAAGTTCACTAGTTAATAAAATAGTACAGAATTAATTTCCTCATTAGAGAGAACACAGAACTGTTTTTCTTGATTCTAAGGGGCTTGGAGCCTCAGAGTTGGACGTGGTTTGGTTGGACTTGCTACAAGAGGTATTCTGAGGGCCTGGCAAGTGCCCTACTTTTTGGATTGATCCTCAGAGAGTTCGATTCCAAGCCAAGTCCATGACTAAGTGACAGGAAGACCTAGACCCCAGGGTGGCTGGAACATCGAGCTCAGCTCAAGTGCCAGTCACATCCACTCTTCAAGCGCAGGTAGCTTCTCTGGAGAAGCAACTTGCCCTATCCCAAAGGGTTAAATCAGTTCTCACACTACACATCCAGCCCCTTTCCCAGCACTGTATCATCATTTTCAAAGTGTACTAGAATCCCTTTTCCCCATTACAATAGCAAGCTCCTTAACACAAGAAAAGTAGGAGCATATTTTTAAAAATGCTAAATATCCCATCATGGTAGATTTAGAAAACATGTGTTTTTTGGCAGGAAATCAAATATTAGTGTTTGGTGATTTAATGACTAATAAGTCAGTCTATCTTTGGGAAAAGGAAACACTATACCAGAGTCATCACTGCCACCTCTCTTAATCACTGAGGCAGAAAGAAATGAGGAAACAACACTGGCTTGATAGTTGGGAAACTTAGCTTTATGGTCTGAATTTCCCACTTAGTGACCTTGAAGCTAAATGTCTCTGAGCCTCAGCTTTATCATCCCTAAAATGAGGATAACTTATCTTATTGGGTTGTTTTGGTGACCGAAATTGTGCATGAGAAAGTAAATTATAAAACATTTTGTGTGTATAAATTTTATTATTGTTTCTTAATTTTTCTTAGCAGGTAAATATCGCTTCCATTATGTACACATGTGTTAAGTGTTAAGGGGAGAAACTAAATTTACACTTCGATGATTCAGAAATATTTTTCACCATTTCTTTTACTGTGCTGTAAATTTAGATAACAAACAAATGAGTGTTTCGGGGAATAAATATAAGAGCCTATTGAATTCAATCAGTTGATTTTCCTGAGAGCAGGATCTGTTCTCCAGGCCAGCTCACAGGCTGAAGCAAGGGAGAAACATTTTGCAAAGTGCATTTTTGGACCATATAAAAAAAGAAAGGTAGAGTCATGCATAAGCAATCAGAACGTGAGAGTCCATTTGGATTTACTTCAGTAGGTAAACAAGACTTCTCTGGTATCCCTCTGTGGCACTGAGCTGAAGTCCACTGAATAGACTTGTGTTCGTAAATGTCGTATATGATTGCCATGGTAGACTGCCAAGCCCAAGAATCTTAAAAAAAAACTTTGAAATAACAGAGCAAAGATATGTAATTTGATGATGCCCACAGAGACTTTAAGGATCATTATCATTCTGAGAATTTAGTTCAGGAACTGGAAAACTAGAATGACAAATGAGTTTGTTTTTAAAAGTCAAAAAATGTTAATCAGAAAGAGTCCAGGGGGCTGGGGATTTAGCTCAGCGGCACAGCGCCTGCCTGGCAAGCGCAAGGTTGTGAGTTCCATTTCCAGTACCGGAAAAAAACCAAACAAAAAGAAAAAAAGAAAAAGAAAAAGAAAAAGTCTAATAGCTACTGTCTGCCGAGCCTGATACCATGCTCTTCATACTGCATACCAAAGGGACTTTGAACACTGCTGTGCAGAATGGTGGGAAATCTTCCTCCAAATTCCACTAGCTTGCTGGCCAGGTCTCTTTGGGACCAAGTCACACACGTCCCAGGCACTGGCTCTGGGCTAGAGATGGGTTGTGTCCTCTCACCAGCCTGGCTACGTGGTGGTCAAAGAATAATCTAGGGCAGTGACGGTGCACCTTTTAGACAAAGTGCCCAAGCTGCAACCTAAAACCCACTTATTCATCACAAAGTGCCAACACTGCAATTAATCCCGAATGTTGAGGGTTTAGTTTAGGAAAAAACACCTCACCCACTAACATCCTTTGTCTTAAAAGAAAAACACAATGACACATGTGCCATAGGTTTGCCACCACTGACCTAGGGTCATCTCGTGAGGCACAAGTTCAGTTTCCCATTTTTTTTAACAACTGGGTCCTAAAGGAAAATATGGGTTCACCACCACTGCATTTCCCTCAGTGGTTTGCATTTGCTCTTTTTAGCTGTCAGGTATGATTGCTGCAGTGAATAAAGCTGGTCACTCTGAAGATAATGGGCATATGAAAAGGATGTATGAATCTGTTTCTGTGTGACTGCATGAAGCGACAGTGGCCAGTTTCACTGACCATGTGGAAAGCAATACCTGGGCGTCAAGTAGCTTCCTCCCACACTTTTGCTCTGCTCCAGCCACTCTGAGGAGCCTCCATGGTACTGTCTTTCCCCAAGTTAGCCTGTACCTACTCAGCTGTCAGTAATTTCATGAGAATTTGAGAGTATGATTTGACTGAATAAGAAAAAGAACTGAAAGAATTTTGCAGATAAGCTTAACCTTGATGCAACCTCATCATGCCATCACAGCTCTTAAGAACATGGAAACACACCATTCCTTTTTCGTTACCTGCTCCGTCATCGAAAAGTTTCAGTGTAACAGGATCTGCAGTCTCTGGCTCGATGACAGCAGTGACAGTCGCATTAAGAATGGGATACAACCCCTTCCTCACATTTGCATAAATTGTCACAGGATCAGGAAAACGGGTGCTGTCTTTTTCCACAAAGACTTCCACAGTGGTTGGGGGCACAGCAGAGCGAGAGGCGCGGGAGGCCACTGTCACCGTCAGGACTTGAGGAGAATGGTGGGTATTGTTCAGGGAATAAACCCAGTGCCCAGGCTGAAAAACGAACACTTTTTGTTTTGTAAAGAGTGAAGACAGAAAATGAGCACTTAATTTCAAAGCATATATCTAAGAGCTTAGTGTTTTTGTTTTGGACTTTTGTTGATGGATTTTTCAAAATATTGTAAAAGGATGTCAGGAAAAGTAATCTTGGTGAAAGGATGGCTAACAAATCACTGTTACTGTTAAGTAACTTCAGGGAATCATAACATGGGTCTATTTTGAGGAAGGAGGACACATCCTGATTCATATTTTTTAGCACATAATAATAACAGCAACCCCATCAAAGTTCTTTGCAAATACTAATCTGGGCCTCATTACCTGAAAAGAGGATAAATGCTTTTAGTCCTATTCAGAACTGAGAAAACGATAGCAAATTAAGTAGACTGCTATAATTTGTGGGGATATTCTGAATGAAGTACAATAATATTCTTTCCCCTTCCCTCCTCCCAAACCCCCAGTCCAGGAAATCTCAAACAACCAAAACGACAAACTGTTAAGGATCAAGAAAAGATCTACTATTTTCAGTAGGTCAGGATTATACAATGTCTGTGTGCAATAATTTATAGAAATACTGATCTCAATAAAAGGAACTGCAGACAGGGAGTCCATGAATATTTAACTTTCAAATATTCCTTATCCCTTCAGAGTAGTTATCTATCCTCTCTCTCCCTCATCCTCTTTTCCCTCACCTTCAAATAAGTCATCGTCTTTCATAAAAAAAATAAATACTGCTACATACCACTCTCTTGCCTTCCTAGAATACCTGGAATAAATCTATAAAAGAAAGTGTGAAAAAAGGACGGCTGAGATTTCAATGCATAAAAACATATCCTTGTAAATGTTATATATAGATTTATTTTTTTCCTGATTCCTGCTCTTTATTAAATCCCAGCAGAATAGCAGTGATCGTTACAGAGGAAAGCAAGGCATCAAGGTGAGACTCAGGATGGGGAGTTCAGATGCTATCACACCCAGTCCAGCCTCTTTCAGTGGGATTTGTGTGCTTCCTCATTTTCCAGTGATGTCTGATTTAAGCATTGAGATATTCTCTCTACCTAATCTTGTTTTGGAATTGTAACATTAGTAACAGCCATATGACAGGAACCTCCACATTAAAAAAGGTACTCAAAAGCATATGTATTACATTGCTTGTCTAATAAACTCTAGATACAGAATTTTTCCTAAGCACATAGAAATGTATGAACTATGTAAAGAAAAATGTAAGCTACAGATGTTATTTGCAGGACTACTGAAAATATTAATGTCTATTGTTGATGTGAGCTTTTTCCAAACAATATTTAAAGTTTTGTATATAGTCTATTTGCCCCCCCTTAAAATTTTAGCACTCACAAAATGTTTTCATAAATTCAAAGCTTTCATATGAAGAACAAAATTTTCTGTCCACCATGCATTTAGTTGTGTTCAGCTGAAAGTTATATACTTGGGCAAATGTTGTCATAATAAACAAGCTCATAACACCTACCTTGGCAGTTCCTGGAATATAAAGACTAGCTGTCCGAGATGCGAGACTGGTGGTAAAATTAGTTGTGCAGTATTTTCTTCCAGTCGGATCCAATAAGACAATCTCAGGAGGACCACTGCTCTGCCATGTGACTAGGAAAGTAGTGTCATTTCCCACACTGTTGTCCACGGTAACGGTGTTTTTCAGTAGATGGTGCGGTTTAACATTTTCACTCATACTTTCAAGCTGTTAAAGAGAATATATATGTGAAATGTTCTAGTCATTCCCTCTTTTTCTTTGATCACAAAAATAAATTGACAAAAACAGAAATCATTTCATTCTAACGTACTATACTTATGTAAATTATTATTTATACTATATATTATCTAAGTAGTTATATAAATATTTTGTTATAGTTAATGCAAGTGTCATGTCATTATTTTTTATGAAGAATAATTTAGCTGTTTGCATACTATCTCTCATCCAAATTAAAGGTAATTATATTTTTTAACAGTTTTGTTTTGTACATGTGTTTAAATTATTTTAATTCATATATAATATACCCAAATACTTTTACAAATTTTAATAAAAAATACAAAATTAAGTTTTAGAATATTTAAATAAATTATTAGCCATTCACAATGTATATGAGTTTGTGTGCACGTATGTGCACATGTATGTGTGTGATATGTACAGAGTGTGCACATATTAAATGCTTCACTTGAACTTCATGCAAACTTTCTGAAATAAATACTATTGCTATTCACCACTTACGGATGAAAAGATGAACTTAGAGAACTAATGTGCCCCAGGTCACACACCAAAAAGCTGGAACTAAGATATAACCTAGCTGGCGGAACGAGGATAAAACTTAGCTAATATAAAACCTAGCTGGGCTGACCAGAGACCTGGCATTTAATCACTGTGTATTTACAATGGATATAATTCTGTAAATAACTTTAAATTTTATATTTGGTAAACACATTAGGAACACTCTGTGCAATTGCCGAAACGTAGACACCATATAAAATTATAATGGCAGATGGCACCAAAGGTATTGTGGATTATTTGTTCAAACCAATTTAACACGTGTTTATTGGCTCCAAACTACTTGCCGCACTCCATACTGGGCCCTGAGCTACCAAGGGGGCTTTAGAGATAGCTCCTGCGCTCAGTTTCATGGGACTGATGATGTCTAAGTGACTAGAGAGAGGTAACCAACACTGGGAATGTGAAGGGTTATTTGAGAGCATATTAAGTATATTATATGTTAAATTTATTGTTTGACATTTCTTTTTTTCCATGTTAAAAGGAAATAATAAGCTATAAAGATTACTGAGAACTATCAGCAAGAAAGCCAATTACAATATATCCTATTACATATATTGTCACTCATACTTCACTTTTACTTTCTTTTTAATTTAAATGTACTTTTAACTCATAGATTAAAACATAAAAATCATACATATTCATGGGCTACCATGTGATATTTCAATGCAGGTATGCATTATGTAATGTTTAAATCCAATTAAGCATATCTATCTCCTAATTTAGCATTTCATGGTGAAAACATTGCAGATTCTTTCTTCTAGCTGTTTGAAATATGCAGCGCATTATTATTATAATCCATTGTCATCCTACTGTGCAGTAGCACACTAGAACTTATTATTTCTATCTAACTAACACTTAGTACACATTAGCCAACTTTTCTCCATTTCTCAACCCCCACTTATTCTCCCCGGCCTCTGGTAATCATCATTCTACTCTCAACTTCTAGCAAATCCATTCCTATATTCCACACATGAGGGAAATCAAGTGGTACTCCTTTTTCTGTGCCGGGCTTCTTTCACTTAATGTCATGATGTCTAGTTCTATCCAGTTGTCACGAATGACAGACTTTTTATGATAATCATATTTCAGGGTGTATACATATTATGTTTTCATATATGTTGTCAGTTTATAGACACTGAGATGGTTTCCATTTCTTGGCTGTTGTGAATAATCTGCAATAAACAAGAGTATAGATGTCTCTTTGACAAACATCACTTCATTTCCTTTGAATACACACCTAAAAGTGGAATTGCTGGACCATGTGGTAATTCTGTTTTTAATTTATTTATTTTCAATTTTTTTATATAGATACCCTTAATGGCTTTACTAGTCTACATTCCCATCAACAAATGCAAGGGTACCCTTTATTCCACATCCTTGCTGAAACATGATCTTTCATCTTTTTAATAACAGCATTCTTAATGAATAGTTTGTTGAGCACTTTTTAGTGCTTGTTGGTTATTTGTGTGTCTTGCTTTGATTAATGTCTATTTGGATCTATTGCCCAGTTTAAATTTTTTGAGGGGTTTTATTCTATCAAGTTTTTGGAGCTCCTTATATATTCTGGTTATCAAACCTTTGTCAAAAAATATAGTTTGAAAATATTTTCTCCAATTAAGTTGTCTCTCCATTTTGTTGAAAAATTCTTTGGTAAGCAGGAGCTTTTTAGTTTAATGTAACCTTGTTTGTTTATTTTTGTTTTGTTTGTGTTTTGGGGCTTTTGTCCAAAAAATCCTCCCCCATTCCAAAGTCCTGAACTATTTCCCCTAAATTTTCTTCTAGTAGTTTAATAGTTTCAGGTTTTGCATTTAAAGTCTTCAATCCATTTTGAGTTAATTTTTGTAACAGAGAAATGGGTGAGAAGTGTCTAGTTTTTTTTTTTCTGCATGTGGATATCCATTTTTTTTTAGCACATTTATTAAAAGACTTCTTTTCCCAATGTATATTCTTAGCACCTTTATCAAAAGTCATTGACTATGGATATGAAATTTATTTCTTGGCTATCTATTCTGTTCCACTATTTTTTATGTCTTTGTTAATGTTAACATCAGCTTGTTTTGATTACCATGCTTTTGTAGTATAGTTTGAAGTTAGGTAGTATAATGCCTTCTGCTTTGTTCTTTTTACTCAAGATAGCTTTGGATATTTGGGGTTTTTGTGGTTTTTAAACAAAGTTTAGTCTCTTTTATTTACTTATGAAAAGAACTCTACTGATATTTGGGTATAGATGGCATCAAATTTGTAAATTGCTCTGGGTAGTAAGGACATTTGACAGTATTGATTCTTCTAATCCAGGAACACAGAATGTCTTTCCATATTTTCCTGACTTTTTCTGTTTCTGTCATCAACATTTTTGTTTTCATTACAGAAATCATTCCCCTATAGTAAATTTATTCCTATGTATTTTATTTTATTTATAGCTATTGTAAATGAGATTGCTTTCTTGATTTCTAGTTCAAAAATTCACTTGTAGCATATACCAATGATACTGATTTTTGTATGTTCTTTTTTCTATCCTGTAACTTTGCTAAATTCACTCATTAATTCTAGTAGTTTTTTGTGGTTTTTGGAGTTTTCTACATATAAGATCATTCTCTCCAGTGACACGTTGACTTCTTTTCCAATTTAAATGCCCTTGGTATCTTTCTCTTGCCTGATTGCTTCACCTGAAGCCTCTAGTACAATGTTGAATAAAAGTGGTAAAAGTGAGCAATTTTGTCTTGTTCCACACCTCAGAGGGAAGAAAGTCAGCTCTCCCTTATTATGTGTGATGTTTGCTATTGCTATTACTATATACAACCTTTATTATTTTCAGGTATGTTCCTCCTATATCTAATTTGATAAAAGTTTTTATCATGAAAGGTTAAATTTTATAAAGTGCCTTTTCTGCATCTATTCATATGGGCACCAGGTTTGTTCTTTGTTCTGTCGGTGTGTTATATTATGCTTATTGATTTGTGCATGTTGAACTGTCCTTTATATCTCTGAGATGAATCCCACTTTATCATGGTGAATAATCTTTTTAATATGATGTTGGTTTGCTAGCATTTTTTTGAGGAATTTGGGGTTTATGTTCATCAAGGGTGTTGACCCATAACTCTATTTTCTTCACTGTGCCCTTATCTGCCCTTATACTGGGATGATGCTGGCTTCATAGAATGTTCTTGGAAGAGGTCCCTCCTCTTCAAGTTCTTTTTGGAATTATCAAAGAAGAATTTGCTAGTAGCTCTTGGTAAGTGTTTGGTAGATCTCAGTAGTGAAGTAATGAAGCCATCTAGTCCTGCACTATTCTTTTTTGGGAGAATATTTTTCGTTTTCTTTTTTTTAACTTCTAATGACAGAACTCTGGTTATTGCCTTTACTGTGTACATATAACCTTCATGGTAAATATTTCCTAAGAATAATGAGTTCATTGTTTACACCAAGTTATTAACTTGGCAAGTTCACTCACCATCTGTGAGGAAACCACAGATGAAAAATTCTTGAAACATTATTCAGTTTTGTCCAAAATAGCTTTAAAGTACTTAGCAAAAAAATGTCCCTTGCAGAAATGACTTGATTAGAGGAAGATTTTTTGTGACAAAAATCATGACAGTTGTGGGTAAAAAGATATTATAAACTTTTAGAATTCAATGAATTAGTTAATAACCTTTATACAAGTGAGTAGCTTCAAAAACACTAAAGAAGCTAGAGTAAAATATAGTCTGATTGATGGAAAGTTATTATGGAACCAAATACACAGTTTCTTATTTTTCTTCTGGATCTGCCTCCAACATCCTTCCTTCATTTACATGCATTTACAGCCTTAAGGAAAAAGTAAGTTCGTCATTTACCTTGAAAAACTGAACTAGTACTATAACTACAGAAAATGCCTCCTAGAACTCAAAAGTAAAGGCATCAAGTAGAAATAAAGCCTAGCATTCAAGTCACCAAGAACTCAGACTTTTACATATTAAAATAAAATTAATAAAGCAGTCAGCACAATACCTCAATGTCCCTTGCTTCCTATCCTCTTTCCCTGCCAAACTGTAAATATACCACTGAGGAAATACTGACCTGAATGCTTTGCTGAAAGATGTCTCCAGTACCTGAAGAAATTCTACTGAAAGCATCAACCATACTATTAGAATTTGATTTATCTGGTACATAGAACTTTAAACCACCTGAAATACATGATTGGAGCATTAATTACTAAAAATGGATAAATTAAAGCAAAAAATAAAGTGTTTTGCCTTTTCCAATAAACATTCTCTGCATTAGAGTGTGAATTTTAGAGAAGTACGAGTGATGTTCAGCTTTCTTTGCCTGACATCTTATCCAGTCGCATGGTAACTAGCCTGTTTTCTGCCTACCAGGTAAGAACTCAGTAAATGTTTATTTAATAGCTTTGGGATCAAGCTAATTTTCACATAATTTGGGCTAATTGCTATCTGCTTATATTGTTCTATATTTACCTTTATATTATGAAATCACTGTTTTAAAATATAATTTAATACATTCTAACTTTCAATGATAAAATCAACCTATCCATTTTTATTGAATACAGTATAATAAAATTGAATGAGTGATTTTAGTAATGATTTTAGTAATTTAGTAATTTTAGCCATGATTTCAGTCATGATTGTGTGTTTTTAAGAAAAAGGGGCCTTTAAATAAAAAGGCCCTTATCTGCCCTTATACTGGGATTATCCTGGGATTATCCCAGTATAAGGGCAGAATAAGGGCCTTTTCTATTTAAATAAAGCCGTATAATCTGAGTTTCCTGGTTGCACTTTTGAATATGAAACATTAAAGAACTGCTCTCCATGGTAAGTTTTTAGAAATTGTTACCTGTACGATGTGATAATTCCTCCACTTTTTCAGCCTCAGAGGACCCCAGGGCAATGGAATGAACAGTTGCACCGCTGCTGAGCACAGTGGGCAGGCAGTCACTGACATGGTCATCACCCCCGCTGGTCACTAAAATCATCACAGAGCCAGAAGCTTTTCCGTTCAGCTTTTCAACCACCTGAACAGAAGTATCAGTCATTGGGGAGGAAATGTAGCTCAAATTTTTTTATTAAGCACAAGAATTCACTGTCATTGTGAATCCCCTAGAATGCCCCTTTGAGGTCCTCTGTAGCTCCTTACACTCCAAACCCTCCCCCATTCAGTCTTCATCTCTCCCCATCACAGCACTTGTCACCCACCCCATGCCATTGCCAGTTAGCTTGTGGTTGGGGACTTTTCCTGCTTCAGCCACCTTGACCTGCTCAGAGTGTTCATAAGTGTCCATGACAGAGGAAAAGGAGTACATTATGGTATGACAGCCTAGCCTCTGAAATCTAGTAAGTAATAGTAAGAGAGCTTAGATCAGTTTTCAACCATGGCTACACATTGGAATGAGAGGGGGAGATCTTTTTTTTTCTTGGACCAGGAATTGAACTCAGGACCTTGTGCTTGCCAGGCAGGTGCTTGTGCTGCTGAGCTATATTCCCAACCCAAGAGGGGGAGATCTGAGATTGATGAAATCAGGATATCTGGGCATGACACACAGGCATCAATTTTGCTGATGTTTTGGTGCTGGAGGTTGAATCCAGAGCCTCAAGCATGCTACGTGTGTGCTCTCCCACTTCTACACATCCCCATCCTCTAAGTATTTTATTAAATGGTTCCAGCGATGGTCTAGGAGAACCACCTGACCATATACAGAGACAACCACAACTCATGACTTTCTTGCTATCAGATACCATTGACACAGGGCTGCATCGCAGATGCTTATTTAAACAAACTGTCATTCCTAAAATATGCCCCGACCTTAATTGATTCCCATGTACTTGAGGTCTAGTATGACTATAGGCAGGAAATGGACATACTAATTTTGACTAGAAAACCCCAGGTCAACAATGGTCACAACTGAGATGTCCCAGAATAAACAGAGAGAGTTAAGAAATTGTTTAGATGGCATTTAAGTCCCTTGGTGTTGGCTATTGTGTTCATTTATATACTAATTTCTTCAATAAGCATTTATTAAGCAACTGTTACATGCCAAGTACTTTGCTAAGTAGAAAGAGTACAGTGCTGACTATGATACGGATCCTGACTTTAAAGATGATGCATCATTGCTCTCCGTACTCAAGCTATGCTCACACTGCAGCAGATAGTCCCCCATCAGAAGGAAACTCAGCTACAGGGAAAGTGAAGGAAATGATGCTAATGGTGATCAAGGTTTAGGATGTTTTACTGTACCTCAAATCCTTTTTTAAGGCCTGAACAGATGCTGGTTTCTGCTTCAGCTGATGCAGTAATAGGCAGATACGAAACTAGCAACTTTCGGTCATCATTGCTGTTAATTTGATGTAACTGCGCTCTGATCTGTCCTTTGCTATCGAAACTGACAATGCCCACAAAAGTATGAATTTCAACAATCTGCATCAAGTAGAATTCAGCTGCTTGTTGCAGTCGAAGAAGTCTGTCAGCCTATGCCCCAAAAAGGAAAAAAGAAAAGTGAGAATATTTTTTGGTAGACAAAAGTATGACTAAGTAGCTCAATTATCAAATACTTCTGATTCTTTGGGGACATTGCATAATAGTTTTGAGCTGTAAAGAGTGACATAATGCTCGGATATTGTCTGATTAATTTCAGGTCCCCAAAAAGGCATGCTTTTGCAGGAAAAGTCTCTGGTTTGAAACAAGCTATATATAATTAAAAACATGCATCTTCACTATTTCTCCCCAGCTCAGAATTCAACAATACATGGAACCACCTGAGATTAGGTTTGTAACTGCTTCTTTTAAAACTTCAGTCCAGGTAAGAGTAGACCTTATAAAGAGACCAGGTGGTGGAGAGGAGCAGCAGTCAGAGGATCTGATATCTATCCTGCTGCCACTCTCTATTCTGGTGGTTATTTTAGGCTGGACCCTGAAGCTGTAAGGTGGGAATAATAATATCTTTCTTGATTATTGAATTAGAATTGCTAAAAAGATCAACTGAGATATGTCCATGACAATTACATATGATTGCGAGCTACTAATCAACTATAAATTAATATTAGTGCCACGGTTTGGGCAGGCAGTGCTACTGGCTAATTCATTAGGGCCTCTTATTTTGAAGGTTATGGAGGAAGAGAAAGAAGCAGCATAGTGTACTTCATTCAGGGATGGCTGTGATCTCTGTTTCCAACATAGGCGTCTCCTTTAATATCCACACTTGCACTTTATGCTTCTTAGGACACACCAATTTAATATTCCATAGATGCCTCAAATTCTACACATGGTTGATTCATTCCTCCCTTACCAAATATTGGTTCTCTTACAATATTGGGAAATAATTTAGTAGCATAAGTAAAACAAGGACTTTGAAGCCTGCCCTTATCATTTAATAATTATGTAACCACAGAAAAATTACCTCTCTTTCTGTAGCTTCAGTTTCCTCATTGCAAAATGAATGCTGAACAAGCACTCAGAATATTACAATTATCTCCATCAGGGTGCCATCAAATTATCTCTCCCAGTCCCAACCTCTACTCCCAACTAGATAAACCAGAAATATAGGGCTCTCTTCTGCTACTCCTCTTACCGGCCCTATGTCCTTGATCAGTTCCAACCGATTCACTAACTTCATTTGTCTCAAATCACTATCATGTCGCCATTCCACTTGCCACTTCCTAGATCCACCCAACCCAGTGTTTGTCATAGCCAGACCGAGCAATACCCTTCCCCTGAACAAGACTCTTGGGCTTTGCACATCCTCCTTCCCACCCCGGGAACGTCCTCTCTTCTCTTCCTTCACTTGCAGCTTACCAAGTGCCTCCTTATCCCTCAAGATTCAATTCCGAGTTTGCCCTCTCAGTGTAGCCTTCTACCATTCTCTCCTACAGCACCAGAAGCACCCTGTCCATCATCCCATAGCAACTCACACCTCAGTGAAGCCCTGTCACCCTACTATGTATGTATTCATGTGCTTGCTTTGTCTCCCTTGTTAGATTGCGAATGTTCTGAGGCAGACAGCCTCTTCCTGTCATCTGTTGTCAGACCATCATAATGTAGGAACCTGATAAATGAATGAGCGATCAGAATAGTTCAGTGACAGTTTTACTAGGAAAAGGGAAGGAAGGTTGGTTGACCGTGAGTTTTTTACTTTGGGTTAATTTCTCTTCCACTTATTTCAGGTCTTCTCTTGAATACAATTATCCTTCTCTTTCTATTTGTTCTTGCTCAGCAGAGGCAGATAGCCGATACTGTGTAAATTACATAAAGAACACGTTTGAGAAAATCATGTCCTTGCAAACTGTAGCTAGGCAACATGACAGTATTATCCAGATTCTGACTCATATCGATGGAGACAAGCAAAAAAAGGCAAATATCCCATGACCATTGATCCAGAGAGTAAAACAAGATAAAATATCTCCCCTAACAAATACTTCTTTATTGACTATTAACCTCAGATTTTATATTTATTGTCTCATCTATTCTTCCTCAATGATGCTATAACATAGGTAGTGGATATGCTGATAAATATTTAATAACTGGCTTTCTGGTTTAAAAAAAGAGTCTCGATTTGTAACAATTGCCTATTTCTATCAGTTCAATGTTACTAGCATGGCTGGTTTCAGGTTGTGGATGTTGTATCACTAAATGCAGAAGTGGGAAGGGACACACACAGGTACAACAGGAAAGAAAAAACCTGAACAATATAGATCAGGGATCAGCAGACATGTTTTATAAAGGACCAGATAGCAAATATTTTCGGTTTTGTGCACCGTAAGTTCTCTGTTCCACATATTCAACTCTGGTATTATAGCTCTGAAGTAGCCATAGATATTATCTAATGAATGAGTTATGGTGTTCTGATAAAACTCTACTTATGGACACTGAAATTTAATACAATTTTCGTGTGCCTCAAAATAATCCCTTGACTTTCTTTTGTAAACATTTAAGGTGTAAAACCACTCTTAGCTTGTGGGCCACGTAAAAATAGACAGTTGGGGAAGCGGTAGCCTCTAGAAATAGTTTTTCAGCCCTGAGCATAGATAATAGTAATAAATAGTAGGAAAAATTAATGTGATAAGTTTTGAGCATTTAGCACTTTTACTTTAATATATTTTATTTATTATAAGATTACATTGCTTAATTTTATGGGTTCTGAGGCATCACTTGCATCAGAAGCCCCTTGTGTGCTAAGTGTACTCTCAAAACTAAGCTACACCCTAACCCCATCGTTTGATTTCAAATAATGGCTGTGCTTAGCAACTGGCTTGCAAGTTTCCTGAAAATTTAACAGCTAACTCTCATTAAATTAGGTGTTGTTGTCTCTACTTTACAGATGAGAAAACTGCTTCAAACAGGTCATCTTACTTATATGGAAAGCAAGAGAAGGAACCAAGACTTAACGCACATCTGCCTAATTCCAGAAAATAAGCCTTTAATCACTGAGGGCTCGACTTTTCTAGCCTGGAGTTTTAGGAGGCTGACAGGTTGCCAGATGACTGTACACAATGCTGTAAAAATGTGTAGTGGACGCAAATGCTCCATACAAATTCACTCTACTATCTCAAGCAAGAATGTTCACCAGTAAGTGAAATGTGACCGAACAGGAGATGACTTTACATGTCATAGTTTCAGAGAAGGTTATAGACCTTAAGTAGTTAAGAAAGAAAATTAAGAGATTATTTTATGGCATATGAAAATTATGTTAAATTTTAGTGTCTTGGTCTTGGTTGGGAAATGTACAGTCAGTTACAAAAATGATGGTTAGAAATGCTCTCTGGATTTTATTTCTGATTATCTCAGTTTCTGGGCCACATTCTAAATTTGTTCCTCCTACCCTCCATCAAATAAAATATTTTTAAGTGCTTCACATCATTTGTCTCCCCCACCTTCATTCTTATCCCTGAAAATGAAGAGGATAAAACATGGTGAAAGATTTATAGTACTTTTTTTTTCAAAAGTTACCTCTGCCATCTTGCTAGACACATCCAGCACTAAACAGACCACTTTGTCACCAGCCTGGACAACAGAGAATGTGGGAGGAGGTGGAAGCTCAGTCCCGTTCATGGGAAGACTGTGACTAAAGTCAGATGAATCCGTGAGTATGTCCCATGCACTTCTCAGGTTGCACATTTGGTTCTGTAGGTTTGGAGCTTCTTGGTTGTGGGTACTTGCATTACAGAATTCAACTACCTGCAAAAAGAGTAGAGTTCATCAGAAAGTAGAAGCACTTTTCCCAAACCAGACACATTTTTCATTCTCTATAGGTTAAACAAAGGGTGAGCCAAAAGAAAGTAAAAAATGCAACATTCATATACTTCTTTCCTTCCAAAAGGAATTAAGCTTACAGATAAACCTTGGCACCCTTTGCTGGAAACACTAGCACCCTTGTGCTACTGAGGGCAAACTCTATTTAAGTTTATTTGTACTGAGATAACAGAGAGCAGACTATGTATATTTATCTTGGTCTTAAAAAAATAAAACAATCTCCCTCCCTTCTTAGTGTGATATTGTATTAAGGAAACACCCCAAGAGATGTTATCTTGGCCAATCTATTCTTTGGAGTCATATTAAATGATCCCTGCCCTTTTACTTATGCATGTTTATTTAATGACCTATTTCAAATATTGATCCCTGTAAGAAAAGGACAAAAGGAAAAGTAACTTAAATCTACTTCCTGAAAACTTTCATTTAGAAATATAGGCTATAAATCATTTAATAATTATAAACCAATGGCAGCCTCCCACTTAAAGATATGGTTTGTGTTACAAATTAATGTATCAGCACCTAGTCACCGTAGTTCTTTTGCTTCACACATCTGTATTTGCTGCTAACAGTCATGGGAACTTAGAGCTAGAAGAATCCTTATAGACTCTAGTCCTACCTCTAATTCATAGAAGAGGAAGTTGAAGCTTGGGAAAGTTAACACCTGCTTGAGACATGGGTTTCTTGGGGTATGAGACAGGAGCAGAACCTGTTGGGTCCTATTTAGCTCTTTTCCCCTACATTTCATGACGGTGGCTACATTGTGAAATTTTTGTGACTGGATTTTTTAAAGTAGGTCTTTTAAAGGATTACAAGGATTGTACCTAGTCACAAAGTAATATGGATCAAATACTTGAAATTAGATTGGCTTCAGATATGAGAACTATACATTAAAAACATAATAGCATGAGAAATATGAAAAATCACCTAAAGTTACAAATGAGTGCTAGCCGTGACTAAAACACGGCTGAGAGGAAAAGAAATCTTAAAAAGAAAAAAGGTATTTTGATTCAAGTGGCACCGGTCAGCTGTGGAAACAAAGAGGAAACTTCGCTCAGTACATTGAGCCCCTCAAAGAGATGACCTACAGATGAGACTTTCAGGTCTTTGGGAAGCTGGGTAGCTATATTAGGCCACGAAGGTTCATTTCTCTAAATCTCTGAATTACCCCATTCCCTCCTTTCTGGCTCTGTCCTTTCAGCAAGATTCTGGTGAGAATTTGACTATTCTGTCTGAAGCACACAGAGAGAAAATGAGCTGGCCAGAGGGTGCAAGTGATACCTTACATTTCATTTCAAAAGCTAGGCTATGCAAAGAAAAAAGAATTGGCCAACGCAATTAGAATGCAAAGTGATTTGCTACCTCAAATCAGGAAAACACAATCATTTATTTTCTCATTCTCATTAACTAAAACTTTGAAAGAGTACAGGGACTCTACTATGTGAATAATTTATCTTATGACTTCTAGAGTCTTGTAAAATCACCTTCTCTGGAAAGCAAATTATTACTTTTCCAAAGAAATTTAAATTTAGTGATCATCTTGGAGGGCCTCCACTTTTCATTTTTGATTTTTTTTTGAACCCGGAATCGAACTCTGGACCTTGCTTTTACCAGGCAGGCACTGCACCACTGAGCTATGTCCCCCTCTGCTTTTTAATATGAAGAATAAAAACTAAGTGAGTCCTGAGGTCCCACAAGCTGTAGTAATGAATCTTTTTTTCATTTATGAAGTTTATTGGTACTACATATATATATAGAGAGATAGATAGATAGATAGATAGATAGATAGATAGTGTTCATCATAGGGAATTTGTACTTGTACGTGATATCTCTTGATCTTCTTTTTTTCCCATTCTCCTCCCCTTCCTTCAACTCCTCTTTCCCTCCTTATTTACAGAGCTCTGTTTCCATTTTATCCTTCTTTTCTCATTTTTCCTTATCCCTTCCTTCCTTTCCCCCTGCCCCAATCTAGTTCACAATCTTAACTGTCTTATATTTTAAATATTGAAAACATGTCAGTTTATGTTGGCAAAAGATGAAATCTGATAAGAGTTTGTCATTCTAAGGATGTACTTACAGAGGATAAGCTTTGCATGAACATTATTGATGCAGTTGCATTTTGGGTGCTATCATAGAGGAACATGCATCCTTCTTTGAAAAGCTTACTGATAATACAGTTTTCCTGTGGGCACGGGCCTTTTTCACATACAAAAGTGCCTGTGATGTCTGATGAACATCTAGAAAAGAAAAGGAAACTGGAAACTGATTGTTTTAGAAATACTTATATTTCTTGCTGACTTACCTTAGATAATAATTTGTTCCAAGAATTGGAGCTTGCTAAATGTGCATAAAACTTTTCAAAAACTGCTGTTAATAAAGTTCAATAATTTACAAATGCAAGCCACTTTATTATAAAGCATTTTATATCAATGAAAGCGTTGTACGTTGCCAAAGACTGTACTAACCAGAACAAAATCAAAAGATACTAAGACACCTAAAGGAACTTTGGGAAGCCCAAAGGCACAAGCAGCAATATCTTGAGTCAATGCTCCTATGGGCTCATGTCCCTGGATATTAAGAAAAGAAGAACATACAGTGATAAAATTTTAAAAATTTCTTTCTCAATAAGCAATCTCAAATGTCATTGATGTGGGGGCTGGGGATTTAGCTCAGCGGCAAAAAGCGCCTGCCTGGCAAGCGCAAGGTAGTGAGTTCGGTTCCTGGTACCGGAGAAAAACCAAAAAAAAAAAAAAAAAAAAAAAAAAAAAAAAAAAAGAAACAAATGTCATTGATGTGAGTGATGTGTCACTTTTAAGAGAGGAATCAGTCAATATCTACCAAAATTCCAGCTGAGGGTATCTTCCAACCCAGTAAATCTTGGAAGAAGAATTCAACAGATATATAGATCTGCCTGTGTAATAAGAAATGCCATATGTATAACATTATGACTTGCAGTGTTATTGGTAATAACAAAAGACTGGATTTAATCTATTGAACAAATTATGGTATATCTACACAATGAAAGCGATATTTAAAAAATAATAAATAATTAGATAGAGGTGAAGAAATATATATTCACATTTATTTGAATTTTTCTGATGAAATACTAAAATATAAAGAAGGTAGTAATCAAAATGGCTATTTAGAGAAGATAAAAGGAAACAAAATGCAGTGGAAGAAACAAGACAGCTACAACTATAACTTTTTATATTGTTTTGATATTTAATCCTATAGTTACTCATTTTTCTTAAAAATGCTATGTTTTTTTAAAATGAAAGAATCTTTTCCTTATTAATTTTTAGTTGCCATTATAAATTTAAGTTTCAGTAATTTTTTACATCACGTGACATTTAAATCAGTAAAAACATCTACCTCCTCAAATGTTTATCATTTCTTTATAGTAAGAACACTCAAAATCCTTTCTTCTATCTTTTTGAAATATATAATACATTCATTAATTTTAGAGTCAGATATGTAATAAATTTAAATATAAAAGTACTAACCTTGTTGTTTTAATTTTATTTTGGCCATCTAAGTAGAAAGGTTGGTCGTTGTTATATTCATCAAACATGCCCCAACGGAGATGGGCCCATTCATGAACAAACACCCTGCCTGTGGAAGAGAGACCATGTCTTAAAATCTCAGCAAAGGGCCTTGCTGGTGTGATGTGGCATCACTTGATTATACAGTATATCTCATTCCAAATAATTGCAATACAATTCCATCTCCCACTTCCCTCTCCCATTTCCTCTTACTCTACTCTATACATGATATGAAAATATACATAGTCCTGTAAATGCAAAGCAGAGATTTACTTCTACATCTATTAGAAGGCAGTAAAGTGTTCCACGTCATCTCATTCCCCATGGAAGTTGTCTAACAGGTTGCTATTTAGCTTCAGAAGGGCCCGTAAATTTAGGGTATAGGGGAGAGGAAGAAGTATATCCAGAAAAGCAAATAAAGCTTTTCCCATCCCCAGTCTGTGCTATTCAAACATGCCTATCTTTTTTTTTTTCTTGCAAATAATTCTCTTATGCATAACAATGATTGAAACCTAGGGGTGGGGGGTGGAATGGAAAAAACAACAACAAAAAAAGAAGGTAGAATTCCCTCTCCAGCTTTCACTGTCTTGTCTGTCTTACTTATTATTCATGTTTATGTTTATTCGCAACTCTTATTCCAAGGAAGAACTCCATCCTAGGAATCAAATCTTTTATAATTTTACTTTTATAAATCCTATATTTCCTCCAAAGTTAAGATCAGAACTTACTTCCTCATAGAAGCTTTCCACATGAACTATTCTCACCAAGCACATATTTCTTTGTTTTTCTGAGTTATTTTAAGTACTGGGAATCCAGGGAGCATTTGCTTAATTGCCTCAGGTCGGGGCACATTGTGCGATTTAGGGATCTTGGGACAAGGGAAAGGAGGAGAACTGCCCCAACTGAGAGTATTAAGGGGCTTTTGTGCCTACTCATGGAATTTAGAAGTGTTGATTTTGTCATGTGTTGGTGCAGGAATATCAGCACCTTTCAGTTTCCAGGGGGGTAAATGCACCTACAGAGTTTTATAACGGTATGATAATGTTTTACAAAGTGTTTTAAAAAGTATAGTTTATAAACTGAGTTGCTGTATTTCCTGCTAACTATGCAGAGGATAACAAAATCATTAAGATTTAAATAGGGCAAAAAACTAAAACATTACTTGAAAGGCACTACTAAGTTAAAAACAGAAAACATAAGATCGAGAGAGTTATCCCTTGACCACCTGACCTTTTCTCACTAGCTCCTTACTCAGATCCCTGCCCACCCACCCAGGGTCTGCAGACCTGTGACCCAGACCTCGCTCCTGGGTTCTCACTACTGATATCTAACTAGAGGCTGAACCTTTCAGCAGGACAACCCAGTGTTCCTGCCACCCAGGGAGTCCTTATGGCTCATCTTAGTGTCTTTCCTGTCCTATTGAGTATGATAGCCTCATACTCGAACTTCTCCCAGTGTTCCTCCTGATATCCAGTTTCTCCCACATTGATTTCAGTGGGCCAGATTATCACACAGTCAGATTAATCTGCTGAAAACAATGGCGTGATGGTATCACTACAGTGCTTGTGAACCGTCAGTGGTGACTTGATCATGTGTATATTTTAGGCCTCCATCACGTTACCTGGATCCCCTAGCACTTTCATCACTCTCTCCTGTGACCAGCTTCAGCATCTACTGATCTGCACCTTTGAAACATGCTTGGATTCCTCTGCAGCCACAGTTTTGTTCATATTCTCTCCACTAATCTCTTGTCCTTTCCATTAATAAATGATATTAACTTTGAAGTGCCTGTCCTTTGTGAGACCTGTTCTGACCACCCTTTTCTCAAAACTCCTTCACTGAATTCCTAGAGCAGTCCTGTCTTGGGCCACTGATCTGGCACTTAACTTCCTGGCGTGCTCTCTCTCATCTTTGCACGTCCATGTAGCTTCCAAGTGGTAAGACATTGACAAATTTCAGGTTCTCTGAGTCCTTTTCAGCACACAGTATTGTGAGTGGTACTGTCCAGGGTCTATTTTTTATTAGTTGCACTTACCCCGTGATCCATAGCCAGTTGTCAAGTCATCATTCAGTAGGAAATTAGATGTGAAATGAATGTATTTTCCCTCTCTCCCACATCCTCTGTATTGTAGGGTATATGGATCATCTCCACTTACTCCATTCCAATCAGTCACTATGACATTAGCCTAAATTGGAAGAAATACATCCTCATACTCTGTATCTCCCCTGAGGTGTTGGTGACAGAAATGTGTACATCTATTAAAGCACTTTGAACTGTACACCTAAGGTTTGTACATTTTACTATAAGTAATTATACCCCAATTTAGAAACAAGTTAAAAAAGAAAGGAAAGTAATAACTTTTAGGTTGAGTTTAGAATGCACACAGTGAAATATCAACTAAATCATTTGGCATTGTGAAAACTATTTCGAATTCTTGGCAAATGTCTATGGGACGTCATAACCTCCTTTGACCTTCCTGGTTTCCAGATTGAAATATTCTCAAAAATCAACACTATAAAAAATCAGATATTATAAAGGACTATAAAATGTAAGAAAATACTTAAAGAAAATTTAAGAGCATTCATGCACACTATTTAAATTTGGGCTGTAAAGTGTTATAGCCTTTTACAAACAACTGTGGGTTATTTCATCAGTGAAGGCAAGAGGACATGTTTTTTTTTTAGCCTTGTCCTTTCATTTCTATAACCAATTTGATGAGGAAAACAACCACTGTAATAAAATTATATTTCATTTTATGCCATGACCATTTACACTCCTATTGCTAAAACCTGATATTTTAAGTCCAAAAATGAAATATCTCTCCCAGTACCTATCAAGACAGCAGAATTTTACGTATATCACTATTTTTCATTATTTTTAAGAAGAAGGATAACATGTTGTCTCAGACCAACCCTTGTAACTTAAGTTAATAAGGGAGGCTTGTTGGGGAATAATTAAATCCCATAAGTACATATCATTATATGTAATATATGTGTATATGTGTAAGACACTGACTAGTATAGAAAGATAATATTTTCATTTTTATTTGCCATATTTCTATATATTTTGATTTTTCCCAATTATTATAATTATTAAATTATTAAAAATTTATTTTTAGAAGCCAAGGACATTACAAGGTAACCCTTACTAAAGGCCAGTGAGGTCATGCCCTAGGCTGGTCCTCACCTGGACACTACCTCACTCCTACATTGGAAACTTTGTCCTGAAGCAAAACAGGAAAAACTGCTGTGTATGCAATAAGATATTCAGAGGCTATTCAGGGTTATGTTGTACCTTATAGACAGTAATAATTCAGGTTTTATCTACTTTTCCTAGTCTTCCCCCTTTTCTCCTGATTCCCACTTACATCTCACTGTAGATTAACAAGATCAAGAAATACCTTGCTTGCCCTTATGCCCTCTGCAATGCTTCACAGGGTTCCTCCACATATGACTATTCATTAAGTGTTTGCCCCGACTGACATTATGAAGTTAAAGGAAATGGCATCCATGAGACACAAAAGCAGAATTCAGTGACTATTCTTTCCTCTGACCCTTCAGTCTAGTCACAATCTTATGTATGGATGACTTACTTATTTCTCTCCTTGCCATTAATATCAGGAGCCCTACCTTTGACAAGTATCTAGCTTTGATGCTGGGTATCTCAAATACTTCCCAGTTTTACTGAAGGCCAAGTTGATTAATGTCCTTTCTGTACATAGCAAGAGATAACATAGTTTACCTTAGAGGTAACAGCATGGGTTTTGAAGTTGAACAGACTTTCAAATTGTAGCTCTGTAATTTATTAGCTCTTTCACTTGGAACAATGTCCTTATCTTATGTGAGACACAGTTTTCTCAGATGTGATTGCAGCAACTAGTTTCAGGCTCCATAATATTTCAGTAATATATGTAAAATACCTGGCACTTAGTTGAAGCTCTTTTACCATTTTATCCCAATTCCCCTATCTTATCTCCATGGCAAGCATTGCTAGGTGCTTTCATCGGTCATAAAATACATCATTTGAAGGGCTTCTTTAACTTCTTTAGGATTTTAGGGTTCCTGTCAACATTGCTATACCATCCAATGCCTGAGAGGAACTTCAAAGGAGAGCTAAGAATAAAGACAGTCTTAAGATATTTCATACCAAAAGACGCAAGTAAGGAAAACAGAAAGTTGTGCCACATGCTTTAACTGGACTGATAGAGCTGGAGTTACAGACCTCAAGTGTTCCACTGCTGAATCCTCGAGCTAAGTTCTCAGTGTCCTTGCCCTGGGCCCTTCTGGTAGCTGTGTTTGGCTCTTGTTCACATGAATTTCCAAGTTACTTACAAAACTTATTTAGTATTTATTTATAGTGTACATACTAGTACTTGCCAGGCATTCTTATGGGCGCTTACCCATAATCTGCAGTTTATGGTAATCTTTAAAGGTTAAGTTCTTTTGCAATTGCAAAAGAAAAAATAGCCTCTTCCCCACTTACTCTCAATCTCTAGCCTTCCTTCCTATTTTCTTACTCCTCTAATTAGAATTCTGGACTTGATTTAAGGTGAAATTCTGATGATTTTCACCATGTAAAAGCAGGCATATGTTTTATATGCGTGGGTGACTTATGTTTCTGTCTAGACATGCATGCTACTGCCCCTAATGGAATAGTCATAGAATTGTTCCCTTCACTGCTCATCCTTAGCAGGATACAACTGATTCTTGGTCCTTAATCAAAAATTTCTACAAAGATCCTCCAAGTTATAAAGAGGTCTTCTGAGAAGCTACTTGGGCAGTGGCATTTTACTTAATATTTTACTCCATGATTTGCATTCATTTATTTTATTTACACATATTTTCCTTTTATCTATTAATTTTTTATTTTAACTGACATAATTTTATATGTTTGTGGGATACAGTCATGTATTTCATTGATAACACTGCCTGGAAATATTGTTTATATATAAACCTCAATAACACAATATATTTTGGTATTTCTCCCTTCCAGTGTAGTTAAGCTTATTTAATGAACTCTTGGATTCTTACCTTTTCATATGATTCTTGTCTTATTTTGCTGTAATTATTCGCTTTCCATGTGGCAGGTATTAAAATCAGTATATTTCTGAAAAACAATCTTCTCTTGGTAGCATTGAACAGGTAAAAAGAAGCCTCAGTTACCATTTCCTGTACACAGACCAAAGGAAAACTTATCATTTGTGAATCATTTATACTTTGACTTCTGGTTGTGTGAAAATATAGGCGCAAAATTTGTAGAAAAAAAATTAATAGTTATGTGAAAGAGAGGAAGCTGTGTGTCTAGGCTTGCCCTCGTGATTATCCTAAAATTCTGAAAGAGTTTTAAGCTTTCACAAAACAAGTCTTTTCCATTTCACACCTGTAGGCATGTTCAAGACCACACCTTATGATGAAACAGTTTTCACTCAGGCAATACCAAAGAGAAGCTCTTGAGTAATGATCCTCTCTTGCTGTCTTAAAGTGAAAACACTGATTTACAGAACATTAGGTGAAAAGATAGTTTTGTTCTCTGGCACTTGATACATATTTTGACCCTTTCTGTCTGAGAATTTTCAGCCTCGGGATGAGATCCAACAAGATGATTCTAACAAGTACTGTCAAGGTTATTGATCAAGTACCCAGTCTTATTTTGCTGTAATGGGTTGTTACTTTTGTAAGCTGTTATCCCTAAGACAATCATGTAGGAATACAACAACAAAATGAAAATTAACAGTAACAAAAACAACAAAAAGAAGACTACAGGACTATAGTGACAGATGAGGAAAAAGAGCGCTAGAAGACTACTCTCTGAACTGGATTACACACAATTAGGTGAACAAACTGGCTTGGTCACAATCATAATTTTTGCTGCTCTCTTTAAGAAGTACTGTTCTCTCTATAGTTCAAATGTAAACCAGGTACAGTTGTCAGCTTTTCAATGAAGTCTACAAGTCTGATCTAATGAGATCATAACATTGATTCATAATTGCTTCTCACCTTAATGTTTGGGATGAGATTCTGATTCTCAGGTACATGTGGATTAATTGCAACGAGTAATCCATCATATCCATTGTCTTGAAGCTGTACTCCGGCTTCCAGGAATACGAGTTCTGGGCTTAGAGCAACTAGAAGAGTCACAAACTTCAGTCTGCAGAGAAGAAGACTTACATTGTCTCTGTGAATCATGTTGTAAAGAAGTCTTCTGTTCATTCACGGGGCACCTCCTCGGCACATGGTATCAGGTGTTGAATGGAGAAGCAGATGGTTTCTTCCTATACTTGGAAGGTCTGAGAAAGTTTCATGAAGGAATTCCTTCTCTCAAAAATCTTGGGTGGATCTACCTGGGACCTGTCTCTACAAGTTCTTTTCCTCTAAGGCAATGCCACACTTGACTCCTCTGTGGTTGAGCTTCCTTCTGATTCACAGTTGTGCAAGAACCCTTCCATTCCTTATTCATTTTGTATCTTTCCAGAAGAAAGAGGAAAAGAATCCAAAAGGAACTCAAAAGCAAGCAGCCTGCCTTGCTGGGCTAAGAATCAGTGTATTCAGACCGATGAAGCCACTTGCAGTAGAAACACAGAATTCTCTAGTGATTTTCCTCTGCTCATCCTTGGCTGCCTCCTGTCAGTCAGTACAACTACTTCCACATTGTCCTCAGGTCATTGTGTCTGTTGGTTGTAAGATTTCTTTGCCTGCTTGTTTTGAAGGTTTAGAGATCCATCTTGCAGCCCTGTCCCTAGAGCTCTGGGTCAGGCAGTCTGGCAGGCTCTCAACTGATGGCTGGGTTAGGTATCAGATATCCCCTAGGGAGGGCAAGTGCCAGGAACTTAGATGCTCTGCAGGTTATAAGGCCTTTCTCTGACCTTGCTGCCTTTCTCCCTCTGGACCAAGGAGAAGAATGGATTTTTCTCCCTGCAACTCTTTCCTGAGGACAAGGCCCTGCCTCAGTAGATGTATTTCACCAGTACCTATCACTGGATTTAGTATGCAGTAGGCTTTACAGTTTACAAATTAGCCCATTTAAATGTCAATTTCCTGACATAGGTATAACTTTCATTCTCATTTTTCCAATAAGATACTGAGTGTCAGAAAGATTATGATAATTAGCCAATGGGGGAAGGAACTAATATTTATTGAGTGATGGATTTTATTATACCATTTTATGAGTGACAAAACTCAGAAGGTCTAAAAAATTTGTTCATAGTTGGTTTTATTATCATAGTGCTAAAATGAGACCAACTGACTCTAAATGTTATTGTTTGTCATTATTTCATTATCAAATTATCCTATGAACATGCTGTCTTCTTTTTTATATAATAATGCCAAACTACTGAAGTAGTTTGGAAACTACTGAAAAACTGTCTAATACTAGGGGGAAGTTTTATTTGTTGGAGTCCAGAGTCAGTAAATGTAGAGATTTTTGGTCACCTGCACACTTTTCTCACTATAGCTCCTTCTCTGAATGTTGCTGGGGTTGTGGGGAGTAGCAGGCAGGGAAGGATCTATCTACTCCTGCTCTGAGCATGGATGTCTCACAAAGACTCTGCTCTACCAGCCATCTTCAGGGTCAGGCTGATCTTATTCTTCGCTCCCTAAAAACTTCAGTCTTCTGGTGTCTTTGGCAAGGCAGCTAATCCTAGCAACAGACCGAATTTAACTAGAATTTATCATGCAGGCATTTTGCTTATTGAGTATAATCTCCCTTCTACAAAGTAAGTAATATTATGATCTTCATTTTGCAGATGAAGACCTGGGACTTAGTAGGTTTCACAAAACAGAGAAAATAATATCCACCTCATTGTCTGGTTGAACAGTACCTAGCAGAGAGTGACATATAAATATCAGCTATCATTGTTATTCCTACCATCACTTGACTTATATAAACCTTTATCCCCTCCTCTCACAGATATTTATTGTTCATTAACTCAGTGTACTGTGGGAGGCACTGGTGATATCAGTGAACAAATCTCAGCACCTTTCCCCCAAAGAACTCACAATCTAACAGGGACAATGATAAATTATGGAAAGGCAGCATTGGCGATAACCATAACCCATTGGGGAACATCCAAACTGGCTTGAGATAGGGTGCCAGAAAGATTCTCTAAACACAGGCCTATCGAAACTGAGCCAAAAAGAATGAGCAGGACTTAACCAAGATGGAGTGAGTGAGGCTGGGGAGGAGCCTTCGTAGCATAAACCTTGCGGTAAACGGCTGAGTGGGGAGAATTCCAAAACCTGGAAATGAAGTGTCAGAGCTGCACCAGGGAGGAATATTGAGAAGAATGTTTTCCTTCCAGCTCCACTGTGCAAAATTCTCTCTTGCTTCTTTCACCAGGTTTTCCTTCCAGTTCCAATTCTGTCCTACAAACCTGACCTGAGCTCCCTAACTGGGTCAAATCACTTCTTTTATACTTTCCTAGCACCAGATACGTGTCCTTTGAAGCGGGAGCATGGTTACACTTTCACATTTATGTGATTGTCAAGCTGTATGATAGAAGGACCATGTCTGTTTTGTTCATTGCTTCCCCAGCATCTACTTGAGTTAACTCTCAATAAATGTTTGAATGAATGAATGGAGTTAGGAGAAGTAAATAAAAGCCAGATTGCAAAGGAGCCCTGAATTTCAATGCAAAAATGCTGCCCCCACTTTGATTTCCTAGAAGGTTATCATCTCTGTTCTGAGAACATTCATCTTGCTCTCTCCTGACCTGATGGACAGCTGTTGGGTCTGGAGCTCCCTGGGTGTGCTGGGAATGGAATGTCGCTGGTCACCACTGGCTGCCACACTTGTTCACCCTACAGTTCAGCCTTGTCCTATGATGTTGATTTCCAGTGAGGGTTATTTCTCACTGGCTGGTAATTCCAAAAGTCTGCCTATAAGGGACTCATTCAGCAGAATGAAACAATTCATTTCAACTTTTTGTGGCAGTTTATTTTTTATGCCAGTCTCTCATGCTTTTAAGAAGAATTATACCCAGCAGTAAAACAATATGTTCAAAATCTAAACCTCAGAAGCAGACTATAAGAATAGTTGGTCCGCCCCCTCAGAAGTCAGGGAAGTGTTTCTTGCCACCACGTACACTTGTGTAAACTGTCCACTGGATGAGGAGACAAGTGAAGACCGTCATTCAATGTTCTCTGTATTTGTTTCTATTATCAGTTAAAATGACCCTGTTAGACTGTGAGTATGGAGGATAGTAGCTAAAGTGTGCATGCGGCTTTATAAAGGGCAACCAGAAGCCAGCAGTCTTGTCCAACTTCGCCGGGGTTAAAACCTGAATCCCTTGGGATTTGCTTTGCCTGGGCTAAGAGTCCAGATTGTCATCTACTCATGTTCACCTTCATTTTGGCTTCTTGGTTCTAGTCAGGCCGCTTTACAGTACTCTACTTTTGCCTCCTGTTTCTTTCAAGGTTCCCAGTCACTGACTCATTTTTAGGCCATGTCTTGTGAATCATATTCGCTTCTAAAAGTCTTTCCCATCACCTCTGCTCTGTCCTGCTCTTTCAACCTCCTTATGCTGTCAGCAAGCAGGAATGCAGCCAGAGGAATGGAAGATTTCTTCTTACTGCCTTCTCCTCTCAGCAGGCTGACTCTACAGGAGACAAAGCTGAAAAGCTAGAGAAAACAGACTTGACTCAATGATTAAAAGTTACACCTGAGCATAGGGTTCCCTGGTAAAGTATGACTTTCAAAAAATAATTTCTCTTTTTATGCAGAAGGTGTTTACTAGTCATGTCCATGGATGTTTTGGTATCTGAGAAATGAAATATACCCAAAGTGAGGAAAAATGGGAATACAATTTTCAAGAATTTATTTCAGTGTTATGTAAACTCTAGGAATCTCTTCTCTGCTTTTATCTGCTTTCAGAAAATAAGAGTTATTCAATTTCAGTAACTGAAGAATCTAAAGGACATCTTTGTTCATTGTCTGAATCTGCGGGTCAGCCTGGCCTCAGATAGGCCTGTCTATTTCTTTTCATGGAGCCTGCTTGTATAGAGCCCCAGGAAAGGTGAATAAACCATCCAGCTGGTGTCTGAGAAGTGCGATTTGACATCTTGAGGAGTCAGAAAAAGTTTTGAATCTTTTCTTTTCATTTTTTTGTTCCAACAATCCTATTTAGAAGAGGAAAGTTTAGACACTATGTGGTTGGTCTATAAAGCTGATGGGCTACTTTGGTTTATGCAACATTTTTGAAATGAACCAAAATAGAAGTGCGATACATTGTAAAACCCAAGATATAAACAGAATTTAAAAGAATTCGCCAAGGGCCCCAGTGGCACATCTTGTACCACCTTTTCTCATTCCCTTGAAATTTATACCAGTTTTCAGGGCAACAGAATGAAGAAGACGGTCCACACAAGGCCTGAGAAACCATTTGTATCTGCTGAGTCACTATCACGCCAAAGCACGGAGATCAAGAACAAAAGGTGAGACCCAATAGAACATAAACACAGGCTTGAGCATGTGAATAAACCAAGCAGCACCTGGAGACAGCTGCTCGAGGGCCTGGTAATGAAAAGATTCTGAAATTGAACAAAACACCTTACAGGGCAGAAGGAAGCATTGAATTTGTATACTGTATGTAGGATAAAGACTTGGGAACCCCAGACATTATTACAAACAACCCCTCATGTTTCTGTGGTGCTTTATAATTTTCAAAGCACCTCAATACGTACTTTATCTCATGTATCACAAGAACTTATGAATCCTTTTGTGCGAATTAAAAAATAGTAAAGGCAGTTATACTTTTTGAAGATCATTTAAATGAGGTCTGTCTTAGACACAAAGCTAAGGTTTAGTTCATGGTTTCTCTAAAATTCATTCTGTGCATATCACTAGAGCATACCATAAAAAGAACAAGAGATACTGGTTGCACACACCACTTAAACACTTGAGACTTGATTTGAGACTCTAAAATAAGCAGGTTAAGCTATTAATGGTACATTCTGTATGTACTTCAATGTGGCAATAACTTAGCAGATTACTTTAGTGTGTGTGTACACACACACACACACACACACACAACTACACCCCAAATTTTGCTGAAATGAATGGAAAGTAAGAACAACTATTAATGACAACTCAATAAAGAAAATGGGAGCAAGGGTATTAAAAAAAATCCCCATTTGCAAAGTGAGCATAAAAGTGCCTTCTACAAAATACTGTTATAATTATCATGTATGAGATGGAATACAGCATCATTTAAAGTGATGAAAAACAACCAGAGAGATGGCAAGAACAGCACCCAGAAGTAGCACAAGCTCTCAACTCTGTTTTTCCCCTAGTCTCCTCCTCTGTTTTATTTCTGCTCTGACTGTGGTCTCAATACATCTCTGAGACCCCAAGGCTTTGCCAGATTCTCCCGC